CTTTGGAATGGGAACAAATACAGATCTCTTCCAGTCAGTTGGCCAAGTGGTTGTTCTCCAGATTTCTTGGCACAACTTGGTGAGCACATCCAGGGCAAAATGATCTTAATCTTTAATCATTTACATCATAAAAATATCTCATACTACACTGGATTATTATGAAATCTCAAATATCTCCTGAGAAAGGAAAGGAAGATTGTTTAAAAGAATATAAGTTGAGAGAAAAATCTACATATGTCCAAGCAAATTAAGTTTTCAATGTAAGAAATCCAAGGGCTTAAAGTTTACATTACTGGACTTTGAAAAATGGCTCACCTTCAACTTATTCCCACTTCTTACTCCCATCATTTTCCTTTGTAAATTCTACTTTAGAAATAAAAGAAGTGTTGATTTAAAACAAACAAACAAACAAAAAACCAACCCCGAAGCAACAACAAAACACAACAAACTTTTTTGTTAGGCTTCAGGAAAGAAAATGGTATCAAGGGAAACATTCTTCCTCAGAGCCAGCATTTTCAGGTGCAGGGGAGAGAAGGGACTAAAACTCCCCTGGGGAAAGGTCACTCCCTTTTGTGATCCCTGACACTGTGTGGCCATCCCAGGGACCAAACAGGACAACACAGTTTGAGATAGAAAGCTACAAGCAAGAGAAAGAACTGCTTCCTCAGCTGCCACCTTGACCTGTGAGAAAGAGAGTTGAACTGCAAATATAAACTGCTTAAATTGGCCCTCCTGATCTTGCATCACTCCAGAGACAAAGGAAGACATTAGGCTTCAGGAGAGAAGCTACCATCAGGTGAGACTCTTCCCCAGAGCCAGTACTTTCAGGTGTTAGGGAGAGAAGGAAATGACACTTCCCTGGGGAAAGGTCCCTCCACTCAGGAATCCCTGCCATGTGGGAGCCATCCTAGGGACCACAGAGGACAAGAGAATTTATGACAGAAAGCCACAAGCAGAGGAAAGACTCACTTTCTCAGGTGGCAAGCTATGCTGTGAGACAGAAAGTTGACTAGAAAACCTCTGAGACAGAAATGTTTAAGTGGAGAACCCAATCTCCCACCACTCAACCACTCCACAGACAAAGGAAGACAACAAAGTTTGGGAGAGGGGACTATAATAAAGCAAGATTTCTGCAGAGCTGCATTGTTCTCTACAGATCATAGAGAATCTTAAGGACTTTGTTGCTGTTATATGCCATGAGTCAACCATGACTCATAGTGACCTATGCACAATAGTTCTCAAACCTGCTTTATCTTAAGCCAACTTCACTGTCTCAGACATACCCTCATTACCCCAGTTATTGCGTCAATCCAGGGTCGTCCACTCTTGTGCTATCCCTCCATTCTTCCAAGAATAATGTCCTGCTCTGAGGACTGATCTCTCCTGGTCACATGACTAAAGTATGTGAGATGGGATTTCAAAATCCTTGCCTTCTAGGAGAAGCTAAGTTTCACTCTTTGCAGGACATCTATTCGTTCTCTTGGCAATCCATTATATGTTCAATACTCTTCTCTAGCACTATAACTCAAAGGCATCAATCCTTCTTCTGTCATCCTTTGTCAATGTTTAGCTTTCTAAGAATTTTAGGAAAATTTTCCCCAAAAGTATTTCCAATAGATTGAGTAGTCTAACCCATATATTGAATAAGGTGAGTGGTACAACCCATACATTAAACCTTTTCTAAAGATAAGAACTATCAACAACTTATGCAGACACAATAGAAATGGCTAACACTTATAAAGAAAAACTTCACATCATGTCAAAAAAAGTAGAAGCCAACTTCAAACACTGTGAAAAAACAAATTAAATCTTCTCCAAAGATTTATATATTTGGATCTGCAGAGCATATTGCAGACCCAATGAATATCTCAGATTTAGGAACGCAGAAGATCTAAATTGATATGGAGGCATCTGAATAGCTATGGAGGAAGGTACAAATGTTAGAAGAAACCGTAGAAGCCAGAAATAATGGGAATACTATACAGGCAGAGAACCAGAAGAAATATATTGATGTAGTTATTTAAACAGCTACACAAGAAGGTGCAAATGATCGGACAAACAAGAGAAGCCATTAAAAAAAGCAAATATTCCAGAGACAGGCAGCCAGAAAAAAATATACTGATGAGAAGGAACTAGAAAAATTATGAAGGAAAATGCAAAAGATGAAAGAAAGAATCAAAACTATAAAGAGATACAAGAACCTAAAAAAAATCATTACAAAATGGAGAAGGCACAGCAAACTCAGTACTGGAAATAACAGAAATACATGAAAATCCAATCCAGTATATTAAGACGGAAATGGCAGAAGTTTCCAACATACTGGAGGGACAAAAGAGTATAACAGACAAGATGAAACGGAGAGTCAGTGAAGTGAAAGACAAGAACCTCAATAAAAAAATACTAGAAAATCAGACGTTATAAAAAAAAAGAAGAAGATTAAAAACATGAGGAAAACATGAAAGGAAACAACATAGGCATCCTTGGAATTCCAGAATTCAAGAATGATGGAGAAATTCACTGAGAATATTATGTGAAAGATACTAGAGGAAAACTTTCCAGGTATTATGAAGAATGGAGAAATTCACATCCAAGAAGCTCACTAACACCAAAGAGACTAAACCCAAAAATAAAAAACATCAAGATATACATAGTCAAATTCTCCAAAATAAAAAACAGAATATTAAAAGCAGCATGAGAAAAACAAAGGATCACCTACAAAGGAGAAACAATTAGATTAATGTCTCATTTCTCAGCAGAAACCATGCAATAGCAGGATGGTACACATAAAAAGCTTAAAGAAAACAATTGCCAACCATGAATCCTATACCCAGCAAAGTTGTCCACTAAATATAAAGGAGAAATTAGGTCCTTTGTGGAAAAAGAAAGAACATAAGGAATTTGTGAAAAGAAGAACAAATCTATAAGAAATTTTAAGTGAAGTCCTTGACACACAGACACCACAGGAAAGTAGATGAACCATAGTAACCAGAAAGAAAAGGGGGGGAAAAAAGAGAGAAAGAAACAGCAAAATGGCAACAATAAAACCTGGCATGTCAATAATCATACTTAATGTAAATGGACTAATTGCAGCAATTAAAAGGAAAAGAGTAATAGTAATAGGGAGTTGGTTGGTGGCCTAGTGGCAAGAAGCTGCACTGCAATTCCAGAGGTATGTGGTTTGAATACACCAGATGCTCTGCTCGAGAAGGAGGGGCAATCTCCTCCTGTACCAGTCAGATCTGATTTGACAGTTACATG